ACAAAATAAGCTGCAGTTTTTCATCCTCTAAGTCCATTACCCAATTATCCTCCATTCTTAGTATTTAGGTCCTTGTCTAGTCCTTTGTCTCACAGAACAGAGTGATCTGCATGGCTACCATACAAATGATAGTGTGTGTGACTTTTGAGACTAGGGAATAAAGACACTGTTTGGGCTTCTACCTTGCTCTATCCTAGGTCACTTGCTCTGGAAAAAGCCAGCCACCATGCTGTCTGGACACTCATGCAGCCCTGTGGAAAGTCCATGTGGCAAGGCCTCAAGGTGCACTGCAACACCAGGCACGAAAGAAATAGCAATACAAACAGGCCATGATGAAAGCAACGCCTCCAGCACCAGCTGAATCTTTATACCACTAAATTTGGGATAATTTGTTACACAGCAAGAGATAACATTAATATAACAGTAGTCTTTTATATGATCCTTTTCACTGTTATTTCCTATTTGTGAATTGAAATCATTTTTTCTGAGCAAATGAATTTTCAAAAAACAAATTCTTATCAGTTTCATTGTCTTTGTTGTAGTCTAACTTATGTCCTGCCTTTTTTTTTTTTTTTTTTTTTTTTTTTTTGGTACCAGGGACCTTGGGTTTGTGAGGCAGGTGACAGAAAGAACCACTGAGCTAAATCCCTGGCCCTATGTCCTTCTTTTACTTCACTATTTCTGGCTGCAATCCTTAAGCTAATTAATTAATCAATTTATTTATTTACTTATCTATTATCATTTTCTTTTGGAGACAGGGTCTCACTATGTAGTTGAGACTGACCTGGAACTCACTATGTAGCCCAGGCTGATCTCAAACTCACAGCAATCCTCCTGCCTCAGCCTCCTGAGTGCTGGGATTACAGGCATGCACCACCATGCCCAGCTTCCTTAAATTTATTTTAACTTCCCAATTTAATATTTATACATATTTTTCTTGCTTTTAAATTTTTAGACAATAAAAATTTCTCAATACTGGGATTGGTATTTGTAGTGTTTTAAAACAATTTTTTTCAATTACTCAATTTCAGTTTAGATTGAAAATGTTCATTTTTCTTGTGGCCTAATTCACCTCCTCCAAATCTTATTTTAATTAATTGTTAGAAATATTTTAAAGATACAAAACTTATAAATGCAGGCTCAAAAATAATAAAACCCCAATTAAGAGGCAGGGCATCACCGCTACTGCAGTGTGGTGGCCTATAGAGAATATGCCATGGGAAGCCTGAAAGGTGTGCAATTCTCTGCGGTTAGAGAGATATATCTGGACACCAGACCAAACACTGTCACTGCAGGCTCCCCTTGAACAATCTTTTTCTGGTACCAATTCTTCCCTACAAATGAATTCTTTGGGTGAAAATTAAAGTCCCATCCCACCCCAACAGTTCTCCCTGCAAATTTAGAATAGTCTTTAGCTACACTTATTAAGAAGATTGAAGGAGACCCAGAAGGAAATTTTTATTTTATAGTTGGATTTACTTATAGTTACAGTTATTTTATGGTAGTATCAGTTCCCATTCCCTATCACAAACACAAAAATAAGATACGAAGCACTAAAATTTAAATTAAGTGCTAACTATTCTTCAGGAAGAGACTTCTTGTGGCCTGGCTCACCTGTGAGGGACCCATCTAATGTTTCAGTATGCTTCAGAACAGAACCTATTTTGGTCTTACATTAAGGTGACCCTGCTGTACAATTACATATCAAAACTGCTAGCAATTATGAGCTATAGGTTGTTTACAGAATTCCTTATATGCTATATAAGAGGACTTTCTCCATCTGACTACTTCAAACTCATCCCTTTTACAGCCTTTCCCAGTGCCTCTATGAAAGATGAAGTACTCACTCCTCAATATTCTCACCATACTTGGTAAAGTCTCATCCCTTTCTCCCTCCCTTTTTTGGTACATGCTTCCTTATATCCATGAAGTCAGTCACCTAATTGTATACACTGGTAATCCCTTGTCTAAGAAAGTCCATATATAATTTTACTGTCCACTCTTTTCTAGGAATGATCTTCTGAAACCAACAGCTTTAATTATTACATTTGGGTCAGAATTTTGAGGCTTGTGTATAGACTGTAAGAAAAAGACTGGGAGTCAAATGCTTTAATGTGAGGGATCTCAGGTGGATAAACCGTTTTGATTTTCTCCTAAGGCTTGAGTAGAAGATATAACCATAGTGTTAAAAGGCTTAAGACCTATGAGGAGAGTATTGATTATTTCTGAATATGCTCTAGGTCTTATAATGCAAAAAAGATGCAGGGAGGAAGCGCAAGGCATGACTGATTAGCAAAACGAAGTTTAATACACTGTGAATCAAAGTAGGCCTAAATAGCTACAGACTCATGAAACTAGACACATGACAATGATGCAATGGACTGTTTCACTGTAACATACTTGATGACTATGCAGGAAAAGGCAGATTATTATCCTCGTAGGAGAAGTCAGGTGAAAACTTTATGAAGATCCAAAGAAAGCACGTGTAACTGGGGTCTGTGCATGGGTTGTACTAGTATCAAGAGAAGGAACAATGCCATCCAGATAGAATTGTATATAAGTAGCTCAAGAACAATCTCAGAATCCTAAAAAGAAATTTTAGCCAAAGGCTGGGTGTGGTGGCACATGCCTATAATCCCAGCACTTGGGAGGCTGGGACAGGAAGATCTCCATGAGTTCAAGGCCAGCCTGGACTACACAGTGAGATCTTGTCTCAAAAAAACCAAAACAAATTTTAGCCAAAATAGCCAAGATAAAGATCCCCACCGAATGTCTTTTGTTAAATCACAAAATCAAATAATGAGAAACTGAATTATCAGACTACTTCCTGAAAAGTCTGCTTTCTTAGTAAGGAAAGATTCTTTATCCAAGGTTTCTGGAGAAGACTGGTTGTTTTGTACTGTATTATAATTAGGCATCCAAGCTTGCTCAAGGAAAAACATCCCAGGGCTTATAGCTATGGCTGACCAGATAGTAAGTAAACAAAGCACTTTAAAGGTAGCCAGTGTGTGTTTAGGTGTATCCTTACCAAATATTTCTGTGTAATGCAGCGAGCCAGTAATATTACATGTACTGTGGTACTGTGGTTCCATAAATTGTTGATGGGATGTGGGAGGGTGGAGGTGCAAAGTATTTTCACGATACTAAGATGCTATTTGCCCTTTCCACTAATTAGGTACAAGTACTTATGGGTAAAATATAATCTGCTGGCACCAGAATCAAAGCAATGGCATCAGACTGTATTAGTAGTTACCATATCTTTACCACAAATGCATTCACAGATTATAAAAAGGCCAGGGCCAGTTTATAAAAGCTCAGTGGTGCTGCTGCCTGCCTCACAAGCGTGAAGTCAAGTTTGATCCCTGATATAAAAAAAAGTGTGTGTGTGTGTGTGTGTGTGTGTGTGTCATGTTGTCAATCAAGTAGTATAAAATAGTTCTATTAGTTGTTGGGTTCACTATTTTTACTTGTCATATGACAAAAGAAGTACACAAGAAGCATCTCTACTGTAACTGTTATTCAAGAAAGAATATTTGTGAAAATGCCTGAGTTGCCAGCTGACTTAGCTGCTTTATATATGAAACCTTACTTAGAAAAATAACAAGGTATGATTATTCAGATTTGGTCATTTGGCACATTTTCTTTGAAACAGTATAAAAGGAATCTGTTATTTTAAGTGAAACAATTTTAACTACTGTTGTCTGATAAAATTTCAAGCTTTTAAACAAATATTACTGTTTTGGAAAAAAATCTAACTTCCCTGAGAGTTTGAGGGCTTCCCAAAAGGTGCCAATGCCATCATCCACCAGAAGATGCAAGCAAGTCTTAAAAAAGGAGATCAGTAATCCCCACAGAAAAGATAGGGTTGCTCACTGTCAAGAGGGGACTGGAGCCACTAGTTATGTTCACTTAGCCTTTTGCCAATGCCACACTAGAGGGTCAGGCAGAGAATTCTGTCCTACTTATAGCTCCTCCAGTCTTAATACCAGAGGTTAGAAAAGATCAAGAAAGAGGAAGGGCAAAGGTAAAAGTCAAACAGAAACCACTTCACAACCCCAAAGTTTTAAGCCCCAGATTAAGGTGTAGTCTGTCTGCAAGGACTCTAGAAGAGCAATGATCAAGCCTGTGACACGAGTTTTAATAATACTGAATTGAATTTTAAATACTAGAAGGAGAATAAAGGATTTACAAATTATGAAACAGTGACACGATGCTGGTAAGGAGTTGACACTCTGTGGGAAATGGAGGTATGACATAGCAGAGAAATAGTAAAGCAAAACTAATCTGTACTGCTATTCCAACAAGGCTTGATGAAATGGTACACACACAGGTGAATAGTCTTTGAAATTAGTTTGCACAATTACTGTTCTTAGCTTTCTATCCCTCTGTTCCTCTTTCTAATAACCAATAAAACTGAAGAGGAGCACCAGCGAAACCCTGTTATGAGTACCATTATACAATGATACTTAAGTCTACAAGTAATCTTGTCAATTTATTCACTATTTGTTGTTTTGTTTGACAAATGTTAAATAGATAAGAGTTATATTTCTACCTCTGGGAAGATACCATCAGAATCACAGATATGAGTGGACAAATTAGCACTGCCAATGATGGAAGATGCTAAAAGTAGTAATAGATATTTCAAATAGCAAAGTAGAAGTGAATGCTAGAAACACAGCGGATCTAGTAATCAATATAATACTTCAATGTTTTCTTCTTTCATCTTTTAATGACTTAACAGAGAACCTCAAAAGGAGACCTAACAAAGAAGAAAAAATTCTTTACTTTAAATGAGGATTGTTCAACTGTACAACACATAGGAAGGTAAAGAAAGAGTTAGAGAAATGAAGAACAAGTGCAGGCTGATCAAAACGTGGGACCTGAACTGGGCTTGAACATGGAGGGTAGACAGGCATGAATGATAGACAGAGCAGACCAATTCTTGGATGAATGAGACAGTAATGAAAAGTGGCTTGACACAATGCAATATTAATACATACCGAGACCGAATTGCGGGTTATGCTCATAAATCTAACTGCAATTAGTACAGGTTTCTGGATTAGGAAGGACATGAAAAGGAAAGCAGAAGGTTAGAATGTACATGTCATTGCCCCATTAAAAGAGGTTTAATCTTTCAGTGGACTGAATATATTCATCTCCGCAGCACTGGCAGAAAGCACAGCTTGTCTACCTATTTTGAAAAGTTACTTTATGGTAAAATGCTCTTCCCTTCCTCACTAGATGGGCTCTACTAAATTGGGCCTGTTAGCACCGAGCTTCTGAAAACTCACACTACAAAAAAGTTTCACTTCTAAATAGGGGTTGTGTTTTCAATTTCAGGGGAAAAGATTTAATTGTGTCCTGTGATGGAACTTTACCACGTTTCCTGCCTAAAAAAAGGTTACGTTTGTTTGTTTTCAGAGAAGAATGTCTGCTAATTTAACCAACCAACCTTTGTTGAGCATTTGTTCTGTAACACGCAGTTTAAATTGTAAAGATAGAAACAGGGTTATTACAGTGCAGTTCTAAGTGAAAACTATGAAGAAGTATTGCTGGGTTCCTGGAAAGTATGGCATGACGATGGGGAGCTGTTTATTGTTAGAGATTTACTGGGAATCTGAAGCAGGTGCTCATCACTACAATTTTATTTTACAATTCAGAGAAAGGGTAACAAATGGGTAACAGCTAAATTTTAAAGAAGCCACTGTTTTCCAGTTACTCAGATACTGATTATTAATGATAACTGGAGCTATTTATACATAGGTCACTGGTTATAATGGAAGGTAATAAATATAAAAGGGGGTAACTGAATTATTTATGAGGCTCATCTCAAAACCTAAACATAATTCTTTGAAGAAATCCCTATGTGGTAATACTAGACCCATATATGGAAGAATTCCATTTCCTTATGAATCAAATACTTTAGTTCAAATTCAGTTGCAAGACTATTCCTAGGAGTCAGCAGAACCACCAAAAGTGCCATAGTTGAAGACAGGAACATACAGTAGAAAAGTAGAGAACAAAGTTACAATAGGGTTAAGTGTTAATAAAAAGGACAAGAAAAATAAGTAGGGCTAATTATTAAGCCACTAACATTATCCAGATTTATAAAATTCTGCACATTTAATCACATATATCCTGTACATAAAACTAAAAAGAACTAACAAATCACACATCAGATATCCATAGCACCCTGTTATTTGGTGATTCTTTTTCCTTCCTCTTTCTCCTGAAAAAGATTCTGAGGGTAATCCCTATTTGCATTACAAATACACACCTCAAAGTCTCAGTAAGGCTCTCACTTTTACTCTGTGGTTCCATGTTCAGCATCTTACCATTGATCTACGAATCAGTGAGAGCCTGGTCTTTGCCTTATTCTCAGCAAATTCCAGGCTACTGATGTCTTTGAGTCGAGCCTTGTATTTATTCATTTGCTCCACAACAATCAGCTCCACACAGCTGAAATTGGAGAAAAGAAAAACTGTTAAAGGAGAAGTGCAACAATCAGACTCTTTTTCCTTTAGGTGTGGCAGACAAAAGATGAAGGAAAAATCAATATCCCATACGTTATGATCTCAGAAACAAGGCTTGGAATGGTGGTTCACAACTTTGGCCGCACTTCAGAAACTATATAAGAAACAGTCACACATCCCAAAGGCCATGCTACACCCCAGGCCAATTAAATAAAACTCTCTAGGGATGAAATTTAAGCATTTAAAAAAAATTTTCCTTTTGTAGTCAAGGTTTGGAAGAAAATCATGAAAAAGGCCAAAGGGAAATATAGGACTATTAAAGTATTAAGAACAAAAAGATTCAGAGCTGTAAACCATAGCCTAGATTACAAGAAAACATTACATAATTTGATGAAACAGAATTTGAAAATCAACTTACAAACTACAAACTGTCCTAAAAAAAAGACAGATTTCAAAACTAAGACTCTTTAATGATGAACTGAATCAAACTGAATCTAATTTACATCCTCAGCTAAGAATACCCAAGAAAGTCTAGCAGTTTTCTTAAAGACTCCTCAACCGGTGGCAGTAACAACCCAGAAAGCCCTGCAGAGGCAAGAACAGCCTTACGTGGTAGTCTTACTGATGTCCTGGACACTCTGTAGTGGGTCAGTTGTGTCTGGGCAGCGGAGAATGCACGGTGCAAACACAATGGCCAAAGCATTAGCAGACATTCGATTAATGTCTTCCTGTAGAGCAATCCTAAAAAACAAACAAAAACATATGAAAGAGGGATAAAAAGGGAGTAGTAGATAGAAAAAGTGAGAGAAAGTATAGGGTATGATGCCAGCTGTACATTACTAGGAAGATATCCACATCAGTTGAAGTGAGACACTGTAGACTTTTCCCAAAGATGTTTTTCTGCCTCTGGAAAATGTGTATTCACTTCGTTTCCTGAAAGTCTAGGTCAGCAGAAGGCTCACCAAAGGAAATCTGAACACTTCTGTGAATGGGCTAAAGGCCAATGTCACTTGACAAACATGCAGGGTTGGAGGCTTTAAGGCATTCTCAGTCATATAAAATAGATGTGGTTTTTCTATAAAATGGAACACTACTCAGCCATAAAGAACGAGAAATTAGATTCATTCATAGGAAAATGGATACATATTGAGGATATACTCCTAAGTGAAATAAGTCACACATGTGTAAATACTGAATAGTTTCTCTGGTGTGAATAATCTGCAATAATACATAAGATCCTAATAAGATTACTGACATTTAGAAATGGGAAGAAAGGAGCTAAAGGTGTAAGGAAGGTGAGATGGGTAGGGGAAGGGTAATAAGGGAAAAGAAAAAAATAGGAGATAATGAAAAGATGGAAATAAAGTGTTTGTAGATGGGGGGAGAGGAGGAGGGGGTGAAGGGAGGGCAGGGGTAAGGGGAAAAAATGAGAATCAAGACTTGTCATGTAGAGGTACAAGATCTCAACAATGAATGTGACTGTACTGTATCCCTAAAATGTACCAATAAACTCAATTAAAGGTGAAAAAAAATATATATATAAAAAAAAGAATGAGAAATTAGATTCATTCATAGGAAAATGGATATATATTGAGGATATACTCCTAAGTGAAATAAATAAGTCACACATGTGTAAATACTGAATAGTTTTTCTGGTGTGAATAAACTATAATAGTACATAAGATCCTAAAGAGATAATTGACAATGTGAAATAGGAAGAAAAGGGCTAAAGGGGTAGGGAAACTGGGAAGGGTAGGGGAAAGGTAATAAGGGAAAAGAAAAAAATAGGAGAAAATGAAAAAATGGAAATAAAGTGTTTGTAAATGGGGAGGGGAGGAGGGAGAGAAGGGAGGGCAGGGACAAGGGGAAAAAATGAGAACCAAGACCTGTCATGTAAAGGTACAAGATCCCAATCATGAATGTAACTGTACTGTATACCTAAAATGTACCAATAAACTCAATGAGGAAAAAAAATATTCAACCAGAAACAAAGATGGTTTTCTTCCCAAAGGGTGCTGATATTTATATACAGTGTAAGACAGACTACTCCTAAAGCTTCCAGTCTGTCAATTTCTAAGCACAATCTGAACCTAGTCCTCTCAAATGAGTTTATGTCAATAGATATGCATCCTTGTTCTAGTTGAGGAGTTAGATAAATGGCTAAGGTACAAAGTGCAACCAAGAGGCTGGGGCTGCTAAATGGCTCACATGAGGGCAAATAAGCAGGGCCATATAGTCCAGCTCCAAGGAATTCCTAAGCACCTGTTCAAGGCACTGACCTGTCAAGAGCCAGAAGGACAAGGAGGAGAGTATAGGGGAAGGAGAGTATGGGGGGAGGAGGGAGGAGAAAAGGAGAGGAAAGGTGAGAAGAAACATATATATATATCAGCTTTCCAAATGATGAAATTCTTCCAAATGAAGAAGCTCTTCAATCTACTAAAATTAACCCAAGAGAAATCACTAAACATTCTTATACTCGAAGTTACCTGACGAGGTGAAAGATGAGGCGTTCAAGTGTATTGAGGTGAGTTCGGGAGAGTTGATCGATCACAGAGTATACCCCACGGATTGTCTCCTTCCTCTCCTGAAGGCCTAGAAACAGGAAAAGCAGCCAATTAGACTAACCTTATACGTTACATCCTCCTTGTGAACACACTCTGTAGCAGGAGAGGCTGGCTCGTAGGCATTTGTACCTGAATGGCAGAAGAGGAGTGACTCAATTCAGTTACACCATGACACCCTCACTGCAAGCAGAAAGAGCCTCCTGAGTTTCGGTCTACATGTCAGCAATCCTCAATAATAGCAAAGGGACAGAGATGTACTAGTTTTTCAACCATTTTTGTGGCAGAATGATTTCTCTCTAAAATTAACCATCCTTGGGGCCCAAATACCTTTAGGTAGACCATCTAGATCCTACATACCCAGGACACTGAGAAGCCACTCTCCAAAACCTGCCTGGCCTGGCATAAAATAGAGAGCTTTATACACATTCTTGCTCAGATTCACAATTTAAATGAATGCTACACTACTCTTAAATCTCTTAATTTTTCAGTGTTTTATAATCGCTTTGTGAGAAGCAATAAAGTGGCTCACTCAGAAACCTTTCAGAATGTGACATTTTAAGTGTCTAAAAAGTAAGTATCTCAGTATGTAACAGTACTGCCAGTTTTGTACTATCAAAAGGTACCAATTGAATCTCTAAGGGCTAAGCCATAAGAGAATGGCTTCATAATCAATACTGAACTAACGATAGCCTTCCTTTCTCAAGTGTAGCCCCTCCCTCTAACCCAGGCAACTTGTGCTTACCCATAGCTCGAAGAAATTCCTCATAGAGTTCAAAAGTCATGAGTGGATTGGGCAAATCTCGAAGCCATTGTTTGAATACACTTGCGATGACGTGAATGTTGTAATCATCTAGGTTTACACTCTCAGCATCTATTTAGAGACAGGAGGTAAATAACAAAGCCAAAACATGCAAATAGATTCAAATAAATAATTTTAGAAACTCTCATCATTAAAAGAAGTTTCAAGATTCTTAATCAAACTGAAAAACTTATCTACAGTTCAGTTCTGTGCTTTGGAACAATGCTTCTAAATGTGAAGAAACTGTTTTCTTAATCTGTTGTAAACTGAGATGTTTAAATAAAACAAGTGTTTTGATGCTAAAGACTGTTAAACTGCTACAAATGTTTCTAAATTCTTGTTCTCAATTTTTGTACTGTTAATATGGACCGACAATAGAAAGAAGGCAAGCCTTTTCCTAAAAACACTAGGCTGATTTTAAGTCATATTTAGAGATGACAAGGAAGTGATAAATGAGCCTAAGCAATGTGAAGGAAACATCTTCACCTTGTTCCATATAAACACCTCAGGTTACATACATCAGATGACTGGGTGGATACAGATGAATGATTTTCATTTGTGCTGCTCCAAAGTACAAAAGATAAAATTGACAGCTGCCTGCAAACTGGAGTAGACCAAGTCTCTGGGAGACAGAATATCCTGCCTGAGTTTCACCAAGGATTTTTCTGTTCTTGCTCGCATACCAATTCCTCACTGACTTGCTCCTAAGAAACAGCACTGTGGTAGGTGGGTTCCTGACACACAAAGATAGGCTTTATCCTCATTTGGTTCAAAAAGGGCTATTCTTATCATCAAGAAATCAAGTAATAACAAACGCTGGTGAGGCGATATATATAGGGAAAAAGGAACCTTTCTACATTGTTGTTGTACATGTTAACTAGTACAACACTATGAAAATCAGTGTTCTAATCAGTTTTGAAGATTTCTGCAAAAGCTAAAAATAGCAATTCCATTTGAGCCAACGATTCGCCATCTGGGTGTCTTCCCAAAAGAGCTAAAGTCATCGGGTGAAGGGAGGGTAGGGACAAGGGGAAAAAATGAGAACCAAGACTTATCATGTAGAGGTACAAGATCCCAACAATGAATGCAACTGTACTATATCCCTAAAATGTACCAATAAACTCAATTAAAGCTGAAAAAAAATAGCAAAAAAAAAAAAGAGCTAAAGTCATCATATTACAGGGATACATGCATACCCATGTTTATAGCAGCACAACTCATAAAAGCTAAATCTTAGAAATGGCCTATATACCCATCAACAGATGAATAAATAAAACTAGGTATTTACACACAATGGGGTACTATTCTGCCATAAAGATAAACCTGAGGCAGCTATAGGTAAATGGATGCACCTTGAGACCATGATGTTACATTAAATAAGTAAAATGTATAATTTTGAATATCACATGGTTTCTCTTATATGAGAAATTTAAAAAATATACATAAAAAGTAAAACAGAAGATAGCTAAAGAGGAGTTGGGAGATCTTCAAGTGAATGAAGGAACAAGAGACAGGGAGGGGTAAGGAAGAAAGGGAAAGAAGATGGGAAAAAAAGAACTGAAGAAAAAAATGAAAACAGAGCTTTTGCAAATGGGAAAGGGACTAAGAGTTGGAAGGAGCAGACAGGGAAGGGAGTGGGAGGGGACAAAAAAAAGAATTAAGATGTATTATGTACATGTACCAACTCCCCCAAATAAATGCAATCATCATGTACTACAAACATGAACTATCCTTTTCTAATAGCAATAGACTTGAAAAGAAATTGAGAATGAAACCAAAGTCAACCCCCTGCATACATTTCAGGGCTAAGGCTAGATCTCTACACAGGCAAGTGTTCAACTCACTACCAAGTTTAAAACTATGTCATCAATGTAGGAAGGCAGGAAGAGGCACTGAAAACAGCAACATCTAGAATCAGAATAATATAGACTACTAGGCAATAAGGTTAGCTATGGATTCAGAAGACATCATATCCCAACATGGTAACACTGGTGAATAGTCTTTGGACAAGAACCTCTGTGTCAATCTCTTCATCTGTAAATGGGGTTGGAATAATATGCTTAGTTCATAGATCTGTTTGCAGTTTATTAAAAAATGATTTAGTGGGCTGGGGATTTAGCTCAGTGGTGCCATCGCCTGCCTTGCAAGCACAAGGACCCGAGTCCAATCCCTAGTACCCCCCCAAAATCATTTAGCACTGCCTTGTGTCACCAACAACCTACTATTTAATTTCCTTGATCCTAAATTTATCTTCTTCAAAAATTAAAGATATCAAGCCCTTTGTGGGATGTTGAAAAGACTAAATGAGATGTCTATCAAGTACCTATCAATAGTTTATACAAATGATACATGTGATACATGTGTACTGAATTAACATAAAATCAAGATTCTTTAGAAAGACACAAAATGAGAGGACCACAGAAAATATTACATCCTTCTGACTGTACGGATCAATAAATACATAATGACAAACTGAAGAGTCTGAAATTACTTATTTAAATACAAGTACCATGGACCCTTGACATATGAACTCAATCGGTTCCCAAGGGCTGGTTGTAACTAAGTCAATACAGCTGAGATTTGGATGTTTACCATAATACACGTGAATCTTCCATTAACTTAATTAACCCAAATTGTTTCTGTGTCAGGCCAGTTCTAACTCAAGGGTCCATGGTATTTGGTCTTGGTTTGAAGAGAACAGGCTTACCTGTATCCAGACCTTGTCGAAGCTCCTTGATTTTATTAGTTGAGCCAGATTTTCGGTAAATACCTTCTGTATAAAGGCCATGCATTTCAATGTAGTTTATGAGCTTTTCCACCACTAAAGGAACGGTTCGGTCTTCACTTGTCAAACGGGACAGTTCAACCCCAAATTGTCGAGGTGACAGCTCTGGATCATACTAAATGGAAGATAATTTTTCTCTTCAGAAAGTGCACTGAACATCTTTAAATGAGCTTAGCCAATTATTTAAGGGGAACTTCTTTTGATTTCCAGGAAGTTAAGAGGATAGGAAAGGAAATTAGACTTTAAAAAGTACAATATTAGTTTCAATCCTTTCCTACTAGGAGCTCCCTAAAGAAAGCAAGTAGAGAAGAGAGGCAATGGCAATCGGCTGCTACTTCTTTCCTGTCAAAAATCTCTCCATACAAAGGTGAGCTTTGGATGTAGGAGAACAAGGTTGGGTTTTGGGGCAAACAGCCTAAACATTTAGCAAGTATCATTAGAAATTCATGATTCTACATTCTATACCAATCAGAGTTGACAAAAATTTTTGAAGCCCAAGAATGCTTTGATGTTTCAAAGATAACCTTTACTGAAAATTGATTTCATAATCAAAGGCAAAAAAAGACTAACACATACTGGCCCATGATTAGTGCTGTAACTCCCTCTTTATCTTTAATAGTTTCACTAGTATCCTAGGCCTTATTAACTGTAGCTTCAGTTGTGACTACAACTTAACTGTTTATTCTTACAATGATTTGAAGTAATTCACAGAAAAAAGGCCAGGTATAACCTCTGAAATTAAAACCTTTTGTGTAAAGCTTTCCTTCCTGGGGCTGGGGATTTAGCTCAGTGGTGCAGCTACCTGCCTCACAAGGGCAAGGTCCTGAGTTCAATCCCTGGTACCAAATTAAAAAATCTTTCCTTCCTCCTAACCCAACAATTCAGGCCACCAGTTGCCACACTTTTAAACTCAGTACATTGTGCTCACTTCAGCAGCACATATACTAAAATTAACTTAGCACATTGTAAGCAACAAGCATATACATTTATGTAACAGTACAAATTTGCATATTATAACTGTCTGTAATAAAAAGATGTTTACACATCCATAAAGGCCTGAAATTTTAAAAAAATGGTTACTTACTTGAAATCTATCTGTACAATAATCAAGCAGAAATATGTAAAAGCACAAATTACATTTCTGCACTTTGCTGTTTATGTTTACATTTGTTTATCTTTTATTGCAGTCTACCACTGTGAGGACGACAATTCCTATGAAAATTTAGGAGCGTAAAGGAAGAAAAAACCTCTAAAAGTACAGTATTTCAAAATGTGTCTTATAAAAATCAATCAGCTTACCTATAGTAAAGGTAAAATAGCTCTGGCCTAAAAGTTAAAAATCATTGTTCTACACACCACCAAACAGGCTTTGATTTCTCTGAGTGTAAAAGACCTACAGATATATTGTTACTGACAGGTAATAATTTCTTACCTTTTTAGAGCACTTGGCTGTGGTTTTCAGACAGCACTTCTTATGGCAAGCATACTTACATACTGAAAAACAGGTTAGGAATGTAGCATTTTTAGACATCTACAACTCATCGACAAGAATTTATTGTATTTGTATTTCTTCAAAAGTTTTTTAGATCTGAGACCTCCCCCCACTCTGCAATGCATTAACAACTAAGAAGGATTTTTAACCCACTTTAATGGGGAAAACTAAATTGGAAAAACACACCTAACACTTCTAGTCACTATCAATAAAAAAAAAGCACTAAAATTATTTCAAGAATGCTAGTCCTTTTCTGAAGTAACTCCCAAATTCCAAAAGGAAAATTGCCTTTGTGGATTGACTCACAAATTAGTGTTCATCTTTTCCTAGGTGCATTACAACCTGCTAAAATACCAGAAATGACTTAAGGATCATTCTCATGAGTAAGAAGGCATTGCTCTCAAAGACCCTCCCTGAAATGAAAACAGGTAGTACACATTAAGAATGAGGAAAGGCCTCATCTATTCTAACATCCAGAATAGAACTCTGTAAGAACCAGAATATAAAAACAGCAGTTGTGATTGGGAAGATGAGACAAACAAAAACTTCAGAACAAAAATACTTTCTTGGAGTGGTAGATAAAAGGGAAGTTGGATAGCCTGAGAGCAGGAAGAAACACATGAGGAGGATACTCAGAGCACAGGTGGCCTATGTCATTCTGCTTCACTATCTCTGGCTCCTGCCTACCAATACTTGAATATCCTTAATTGAGTTCTAACGTATCACTTAGGCTTTCAAAGCTAAGATTAAGAAGGCGAGGTGTCACAGTATTGGTGGAATCACCATTAATCACAAAGCAAATCAATTCCATGGAGAAATTAAATCAAGCTCATTTAAAAGTCATAAAAAGGCAAATTCCTTAAACTTTCAGCATTATATCACAGAAGAAATGACTAAACCTTCAAGAACTAGACTAACAAATAGTGAAGTACATTTCAAACTACTTCCTACTTTCATTCTCTTTATAGTTTTTTTTTTAGACTACTGATAATAAAATGAAAAGAAGTGCTTGTTTCGGTAGCACATGTACTAAAACTGTAATCATTCAGAGATCTGTCCATGGCTCCTGGGTAAGGATGACATGCAAACCAATGAAGCATCCACTATTAAAACAAAAATAAAAAAGAAAACTGTTGATGAACCATAAAACCAGGCAACAGATCCAAGAAAGTGGTGATTTTGCTACAGCAAAATGACTATTATTGTTGGCACACTGGTCCCAGTCCTGCTTAATATTCCCTTTCACTTCTGGCCTGCTAGTAAAAGCAAAGCCTCACAGAATTATTGATAGCACAAGAATAAATAATAAACAAGAGAAGTGTGAGTTAAAGCTAGAACCAAGGTGACCCATGAAGAATCTCTTCTCACATTTTAGGATTTACATATTCTGGTGAATGGATTATAGTAAAAAAAAGTATCTTTTTTACTATAATCTAAAATTCCATCCATCTAGCAGCAGTACATCCATCTACCCAACAAACATTTATATTAACCCACTAAGAAGAGACAGATAAGTTTCCTGACTTTGTAAAGTATATGTCTGGTGAGACAAACTGAAAATCAATCAAGAAAAATGAATGAATACTTAATATAATTTCATACTAATAAATTGGAGCTTAACCTAAATGACATTTTAACAAAAGGTGGTAGTGTTACAAGGACTCAAATCTGAGTAAGGGATTAGTGAATAGAGTTGCAATCGAGATAGAAGAGTAAGTAAAGAGCTCTTTGAGGAGGTAACATGGATGACAACATGAATTCACTGAATGTGAAAGCATACTAAGATCTGGGGAAGAAACATTTCAGATAAAGTGAGTTTGAAAAGATAAGGTTCTCAGTGACTATGTAATACCCTGTACCTTGTTTGGATACAGAGAGTGAGTAAAACAGAATATGATACTAAGAAGAGAATAAAGAAGTAGGTAGTGTGAATTATCTTTCATATTAAAGAAGATATAAGAAGCTGGGCATGGTGGCACAGGCCTGTAATCCCAGCACTTGGGAGTCTGAGGCAGGAGGATTGCTGTGAGTTTGAATTGAGAAGAGCCTGGGCTACACAGTGAGTTCCAGTTTAGTCTCAACTACATAGTGAGACTCTATCTCAAAAAAAAAAACCAAAAAAAAAAAAAAAAGATATTAAAAAAAACTCAAGGATATAGAGATATTAGGTACTTTAAAAAACTCCTCAAAGATCTCTCATACTTACATTTGCAAACTGAGGCTCGGTCCATTATCCATATCAAAGAAGAACAATATTCACAGTATGTAGGGATGCTGTATTGGGTGGCCTTAAAGACATGACCATTGTGTTCTTCCACCTGAGTGAAAAAATTTAACTGTTTATCTTAAAGCCAATACACTATAATGCTTCCCCTAACACGGTCAGCAAATGGAAAATACTCCAATCCCTTCCTAAGTCTTCACTGGATATTTATTCTTAGTGGAGAATTATGATCGTCTGAGAAAAACAATATATGGTTCTTGTTTTCAAAAAGCTAACTATACAGATAAATATGACCAATTTATAGAAAAAGCAATGCAACAAACTGCTTTTTATGTGTCAATTACATGTTCAATTCAAAGCAGCACTTCTCACTGTTCACTTTTTTTTTTAACCCCAGAAACCTTTCACACTTTGAAAATACTGATGACTCAAAAGCCCCTGTTCATTGAGTCATACCTATTGGTCTTTACCACACAAAACTAAAGACAAAAAAGTTAAAGTATTTTTAATTAATTCACTGAAAATTAATAAACATTTGCAGCTCAACATAACACTGTATTGAAAGACATCAGAGAAAAAAATAAGTATAATTTATTTTTGTAAATCTCTTGAATGTCTGGCTTACTGACAGACATCTGGATTCTGATCCACTTCTGCCCTAGATCTACTGCAGTATTCGACTGGGTTTGAACAGTATGAAGAAAATCCAGCTTCATACAGATAGGAAACTGGAAAACGGGGAAATACTTTAATAGCCCTTTCAGACAATGATACTATGCCAAAGATTAACAAATGATAGTTCAGCCGGGAGTGGTGGCACACACATGTAATCCCAGCACTCCGGTGGCTGAGGCAGGAGGATGCTCTGAGTTCAAGACCAGCCTGGGCTACATAGTGAGTTCCAGGTCAGTCTCAACTACATAGTGAGACCCTGTCACAAAACAAAACAAAACAAAAACAAACAAACAAACAAAATGATAGTTCAAAGGTTAACCAGAATATGAACATAAGGGTGGGGAAGGAAAAAGACAGGAAGGGCATGTAAAATGAATTAAGAGGTGTTAGGTATATGTACCAACTCCCCGTGATAAATGTAATCATAATCTCCTGCAAACATGGAAAAATTTAAAATATGAATAAAAAAACCATACCGATCTACTAAAATAAGGAAAAACCCAAATCAATGCAACTAAAAATGTTCTCTTCTTTTAAAAGACAGGGTCTCACTATGTAGTTGAGACTGACCTGGAATTCAATATGTAGCTGGTCTCAAACTCACCTCCTGCCTCAGATTTTGGAGCGCTGGGATAACAGGCATGCGCCACCATGCCCAGCTTTTCCCATTAGTTTTAAAAGAAACTGATTAGTCTCTAGGCTCCCTATTGCTATGTTTTTTGTTCTTGTGTTTATTTTGTTCTGACTTCTCTTCAACAGCTCCCTAGAGATTCTGTGATCTTCCTGTGTCCTCTGACCTCACTTCTAAACTTTCTCTATCCTATCTATCTCTACCTCCCCAACACCTAAATCCCCATCTGAAGGGTAAAGTTGCTATACTGAAGCGTTTACTCACTCTAAACACATTTTGGGATGGCCCTCGATTTGGATTTAATTCACACAGTTAAAGGTGAGAGATTGATAACTACCAGAAATTGTCATTTTCTAAGCTGTGCTTGATGCTATTGTGTTGCTGATTTTATCACTTGGACTAAGGTGTTATGAATGATGTAATCAGTTGTCCTCCCTGGTATAATGAAAATGAGATTACCTCAGAGTATTAGAGACTCAAAACCTAAATAAAGACCAGTTATATATGGAAAATTGAAGTATTAACCCAGGAATTAAACTGAGGACAGTACCAATGACAAAAATAGAAATGAAAAGACATTTAAACAAGTCAAAAACACAGAATTCCACCTCACCAAAGGTAAACCCTGGGGAAAATGAGGTGGAAAAGTCGAAAGTCAAACATCTGGATACCCTGCATGGATACCACAGGGGGGAAAAAAAAAGCTGAATGAGGCTATATAAAAATTCAAAACAGAAATAATTTCCCAGATAATCACAGAGATGGTGAGAAGAATGAAAGATATGATTTAGAGATTCTAGAACAGAAACGGATACAAAAATAGAGGTGCTCAGGACCATGATGGAAATCATGAATTCCCAGCATAGGAAAGAAATAGAAACCTTGAATTTCCAAAATAGGAAAGAAATGGAATCCATGAAACAAATTCAAATGGATATCCAGGAGATTAAAATCTCTATTAAGTTTTTCACACCAGAGAAACTATTCAGTATTTACACACGTGTGACTTATTTATTTCACTTAGAAGTATATCCTCAATATGTATCCATTTTCCTATGAATCTAATTTCTCATTCTTTATGGCTGAGTAGTATTCCATTTTATAGTACACGAGATCCTAATGAGATAATTGATAATGTGAAATACGAAGAAAAGGGCTAAAGGGGTAGGGAAACTGGGAAGGGTAGGGGAAAGGTAACAAGGGAAAAGAAAAAAGTAGGAGAAAATGAAAAAATGGAAATAAAGTGTTTGTAAGTGGGGAGGGGAGAAGAGGGCAAAGGGAGGGCAGGGGTAAGGGGAAAAAATGAGAACTGAGACCTGTCATGTAAAGGTACAAGATACCAATAATTAATGTAACTGTACTGTATACCTAAAATGTACCGATAAACTAAAAAAAAAAGCTCTATTGAAAGCATTTGCAACAGAATGAACAAATGTGAAGATAGAATTTCAGATATAGAAGATAGGATTGTGGTCAGTGACCATAAAAAGAGAGATCTCCTAAAAACAGTAAGGGATCATGAGAAATCAATCCAACAACTCTTAGATGAGGCAAAGAGGATTAACATATGACTTGATAGGAATCCATGAAGTACCAGGGGAAATATAAATGACATAAAAAAACTGTTCACAGAATTAATGACAGAAAACTTCCCAAATGGAGGGGATGAATTTGACATACAGATAAGTGAGGCATATAGGACTCCAAATAATCAAGATCCCAGAAACCCAACAGAAGAACAAAATACTACAAGCAGTTAAAGAAACAAATCACATGCAAAGGAAATATCATCAGAATCACAACAGACTTTTCAACACAAACCTTCAAGTAAAGGAGAGCCTGGAGTGAGATATTTCAAGTCCAAAAAGAAACCAACCTCCAACCTAGACAAGTATCCTGCAAAACTATCTTTCAAAATTGTGAGGAAATAAAATACTTCCATGACAGAGAACACCTGAGAAATTTTATGAATACAAAACCAGCACTCCGAACACTTGTAAACAATATCCTGGAAAAAAGAAAATGAAGGACACAACTCCATAAGGACCAACAGAGTAAATATACCTGGCAAGGCAAACAATTAGAGGGAGAGAGGGAAAAATAAAAAAATAAAAGAACCACCAACAGGAAAAAAACATGACAATGAAAAGGCAACACATAACAGTTATAACCATCAATATTAATAGCCACAATTCACCAATCAAAAGAAACAGGCTGGCAGAATGGATTAAAAAGCAAAATCCAACAATATGCTGTATATAAGAAACCCACTTAATCCACAAAGAAATGCAAAGGCTTGAGAGTAAAACGACGGAAAACAGTTCTCCATGTGATAGGATCCCAGAAAAAAGCAGAGGTAGCTTTCTTACTTGCAGACAGAATAGATTTCAAACCAAAACTAATTAAGAAAGACAAAGAAGGCTACCACATCCTTGTAAAGGGAAAAATACAAGAGGAAGAAATGATAATTATAAATACATATGCACCAAATACTAATTCTCTTGACTATACAAAACAAATATTAATGGATATGAAAAATGAAATAAGCACTAATACAATTGTAGTGGGGGACTTTAATACGGCACTGATGAATTGATCATCTAGACAAAAAACAATGAAATAACAGAACTGAACCAAGTCTTAGAACAAATACACTTAGTAGATGTCTACAGAGTGTTCCACCCCACAAAATCAGAATACACATTCTTTCAGGCTGCACATGGGTCATTCTACAAAATAGACTACATGCTAGCTCACTGAACATGCTTCAGTAAATGCAAAGGAATTGAAGTTATACCATGCATATTATCAGACCATAGTGCAATTAAATTGGAAATCAATAGCATAAGAAACAGTAAGAACTTCACAAACACATAGAAATTAAATAAAACCCTATTGAACAACCACTGGGTCACAGAGGAAATGAAAGAAGAAATAAACAGTTTCTACAATTAAATGATAACGCCAATACAACATACAGGAATCTATGGGACACAAGGTAAGCAGTTCTACGAGGGAAATTCATAGCAGTAAATGCCCATAGTAGGAAAACATAGCAAGCGCAAATAAACAACTAATACTTAACAGTAAGCATCTAGAAAAAGAGCAAGACAAACCAAAAGCTCGTACAAGGGAGGAAATTAATGCAATAGAGACTAAGAGAATGATAAAAAAAAAATCAATGAATCAAGGAGTTGGTTTTTCAAACGAATAAATAAAATCAACAAACTCATAGACCTAAACAAAAAAAAAAAGCTTCAAATTCATGCAATCAGGAATGAAAAAGGTGAAGTCACAACAAATCCACCAGAAATCCAGAGGATCATTAATAGCTACTTTGAAAACCTGTACTCTAATAGAGAACACAGAATAAATGGACAGATTCCTGGATACATATGAACTTCCAAAGCTGAACAAAGAGGATATAAAAAGTCTAAACACCCCAATCCATTCAGTGAGATTAAAAATGTAATTAAAACATTACCAACAAAGAAAAGCCCAGGTCCTGGTGGCTTCATTGCTGAATTCTACAACATATTTGGAGAAGAACTATCGCCACTACTCTTTAAACTAAATTGAAAGGGAAGCAATACTTCCAAATTCATTCCTGGAAGCAAGTGATTCCAAAACCAGGGAAAGACCCAACCAAAAAAGAACTACAGGCCAATCTCCCTAAAGAATACAGATGCAAAAATACTCAATAAGATACTGGCAAACAGATTACAGAAGATCATCAAGAAGATCAAACACCCTGACCAAGTTGGATTTATCCCAGGGATGCAAGGATG